ACCCCTGGCGGTGCTCAAGAGGAGACCATATGGGATGCTGGGAATCGAACCCGGGTTGGTCACGTGCAAGGCAAACGCCCTACCCGCTATGCTATTGCTCCAGCCCCTAGCACAGGTCTTTTTTCATGAAGATCAACCCCTTATTCATAATTTACTTGGAGATGAAGCCCTGAATCTTGTTTATGTTACCCAGACATGGCTGGGAGAGACAGCTGTGCATTATAATCTGTCTGGGCACAGATGGGTCTTCAGTGAAGCATGAATACATATTGGTTTGCTGATGTATGTTTACTGCCTCCTGTTAAACTTCCAGAGATTCAACTCCTAAATCACTGCATCCACTTGTATATAAGCAAATCACTAAACTTAACTGGAAATTTTCTTGCTAGTGATCTCTCTATCCTGTAAGATCAGTTCATTACATTATGATTTTATTGACTGTTTTGTCCTATTTAGTCTGTTCAGATTATCGCTGGTTTGCAGTTTGATTTCATTAGCTATGTCTTGATAATTTATGTTTTCAGGCTGTCAGATGTTTATGAATTGTTTCAAGATCTTACATATTAAATTTCCCTCACATTTGTTTTGGATGCAACCATTAAATTTGAAATATCAAGAAAAATAAAATTAGGGTATATCCTGAAAAGAAATTCATTTAAAATTTTTAAAGACGATATCAATAATAAATATTTACTTGAAAGTATGGTAGAACAAGTTTGTTTATACAAATGGGTAGTGCAAATAGTGGTCTAAAAGAATAAGCAAAACAAATATGCATGAATAGTTGAAGTATTTAACTGAATCTATGAACAATATCAAAACATTAATGGGACCTCTTAGTAAATAAAATTCAATTCTTAATCACTCACCAAACCACTCTATATGTTGTTCCACAATTTCACTTTTACTTTAAAAATCAAAGATAATAAAACTGGCTGAAATTGCTGATTGAAATGTATGCTCACTGGTCTTCACCAACTGAGCTGTGAATATCGTTAAATGGTAGTGGATATGTTAATAAATGAGCTAGGTACTAACACAGGGGATTGCCCTGCCACAGAGACGGGGGGATGGGGGGATGGGGGTGGGAGTGATATTATCCATGGTGGTGGAAAATGGGCACTGGTGGAGGGATGGGTATCTGATCATTGTATAATTGAAACCAAAGCACAAAAAATTGTAAATCTACAACTTTAAAAAAAATAAAATAAAATAAAGGGGAAAAAAAAAATAAATGAGCTAGGTACTGAATTTATATGATTTACATTCATTTTATAATTCCTTACATTTGTGGAAAGTAACAAATCATTGTCAATTTTATAGATCACTGTTCACTTTTGATTATTTAAAAACTTAAATTTATTTCCCATGATTTACAGTACTGTTAATAATAAAGTTCCATACATAGTTCCACTGCACACTCGCCACCATTTTCTCAGGCCTTGTCCCTGAGACTCCCTCTTTCCCTCACCTCCTCCATCTTCTCCCATGGTAAGCTCATTTATGTAAATAAGCTCCCAGATTCTGCTCCCTGTGGTCATTTGTTATCTCCTTACTGTGTTACTTTACGTTCCACATAGAAAAAAATAAGCATTCTGTATCTGTCCCTCTCCTTCTAGCTGACTTCACGCAGCATGTACCCTATGGTTTTATCCACGCAGAGACAAATTTCATGATTTCATGTTTTTTTTATAGCCAAGTAATATTCCATGTGAATATATGGCACTGTTTCTTAACCTGTTCTTGGACACTTAGGTTGTCTCCAGATTTTTGATATTGTAACTAGTGCTGCAGTGAAGAAAGCAGTGCAAATATCTCTTCTAAGTAGAGTTTTGGGTCCTTGGGATAGATGCCAAAAAGTGGAATTTCTGATTGAAATGGAAATTAGTTTTTTCCATAAATGTCCATGTTTTTTTTCAAAGAGATTGAGTCAGTGGACATTTCCACCAGCAGTGGATAAACCTTCCTTTTGGGGGGAGTAGAGGCCACACCAGACAGTTCTCAGGGCATACTCCTGGCTCTGCACTCAGGGATCACTCCTAACAGGTTCAGAGAACCATATAGGGTGTCAGGGATCAAATTTGTGCAAGACAAATGCCCTGCCTGTCGTCTATCTCTCCATCTCCCTGGGTTCTTTTTTCACTCACATCTATGCCAATCTGTTATTTTTTCTTTTTGACATCACTAAAGGTAAAGGTAAAGGCCCTCCCGTTGATCGTCGATTTGCTCGAGTGGGCCCAGTAACGTCTCCATTGGAGACTTTGTTGTTACTGTGTTTGGCATATCGAATACTCTCGGTAGCTTGCCGGGCTCTCCGAGGGGGGTGGAGGAATCGAACTCAGGTCGGCCATGTTGGCCGCTTGTAAGGCGAACGCCCTACCACTGTGCTATCGCTCCATATCTAATTGATGTTTTGATTTGCATTTCCCTGATGGCAGTGCAGAAGAGCATTTTTCCATATACTTATTGGCCATTTATATGTCTTTTTTGAGGGAGTTTCTGTTCTTTTCTCCCCATTTTGGATGGTGTTGGTTGTTCTCTTTGTTAAGTCTTGCTAGTGCTTTATTGAAACACCTTCAGATTTAATGTCATAAAGAGTTCTTCCTGTGTTTTCTTCAACATAATTTATGGATTTAGGTCTCATATTGAGGTATTTAATCCTTGATTTGATTCAGTAATATAATAATTTTGAATTTCTCTGCTCTGAACTGTGTCAGTGATATAAGAAGAAAATAACTATTAGCTCATTTTGACTGATAAAATCAAACCTTCTTGTTATTAAATAATAATTTAATCCATATATGAATTATATAAAAAGAAAAGTTCAATCTATTAGAAGCTCAAAAACATCAAAAAGTCTTGGGTTTATTTTTTAGGGGCCAGAGCAAAAGTGGGTAGGGTGCTTGACTTCAAGCAAGTAACCCGGTTCAATCCCCAGCATCCCATATGGTCCCCCAAGCACTGTGAGAAGTAATCCCAGAAAATCACTGGGTGTAACCCTAAAATCAAAGAAATTTTTGAAACATTTTTAAGTTACATCCAGGGACAGTAAACAGATCAGTAGTAACCAGAGATCATTGGGCTAAGCATTAAGTAAGTGAACCTGAGGGTATTCCTGCACCTACATAAGTTTTATATTTTAGAGCAATTTATGTTCGTTGAAGCATTGTTTACAATAGCCAAAATCTGGAAAAAACCCGAGTGTCTGAGAATAGATGACTCGTTAAAGAAACTTTGATGCATCTACAAAATGGAATACTATGCAGCTGTAAGAAAAGATGAAGTCATGAAATTTGCAGATAGGTGGATCAACATGGAAAGTATCATGTTAAGTGAAATGAGTCAGAAAGAAAGGGACAGACATAGAAAGATTGCACTGATCTGGGGAATATAAAGTAACAGAACGGGAGACTAACACCCAAGAATTCAAGAGATAAGTACCAGGAGGATTACTGCAAAGCTTAGAAGCCATCTCATATGCTGGGGGAAAAGTCAGCTGAGATAGAGAAGGGACCACCACGAAAACAATGCTAGGAGGGTCCACTTGGGATGGGATATGTGAGCTGAAAGTATACTAGAGCGAACATGATGGCCTCTTAATACCTCTATTGCGAACCAAAACACCCAAAAGGAGAGAGAAAGCAAAAGGGAATGAATGCTCTGCCACAGAGGTGGGTGGGGTAGACAGGACGGGCTGGGGGTGGTGGGAGGGATGCTGGGACCATTGGTGGTGGGAAATGGGCACTGGTAGAGGGATAGGTACTCGATCATTGTATGACTGAAACACAAGCATGAAATTTTGTAAGTCTGTAACTGTACCTCACGGTGATTCACTAATGAAAAATTTTTAAATAAATGAACAGAAAATAGATAAAGTTCTCAGTATATACCTACACTCTCACACCCACAGTATCAATATCTAAACAGTGAACATACATTTGTTACAACTAATGAATCTACAATGATCTACATTGTGATCTCTGAAAATTCTGTAATTAACCCTGGGGTTCACTCTTCATTTTGTAACTTTCTATGTGTTTTATCAGATGCACAAAAATTGGACCTGCCTTTGAAATATTGCATAGAATAGTTTCACCGCCTTAAAAATCCTGTGTTCAGGATCAGAGAGATTGTACAGGAGGTAGGCCTTGTATGTGAGCCCTTCTGTCGGCCCTGTTTTGACCCTCAGCACCACATATGGTACGCTGAGCAGGGTGAGTTTCAGTCCTGAGCACATAGCGAGGAATAGTAACTGAGAACTATGGGTTAAATCATAGATATTTGAATCAAAGTTTATATTTCTTACTTTTGTGGGAATTTTTTTTTTCAAATATGATTATTACTTTTTTGTGTGTGTGTGTCTTCTTGGGTCATAGCTGGCGATGTTTAGGAGATACTCCTTTCTCTGTACTCAGTATTTTTTACTCTTGGTGGTTCTCAGGGAATCATATGGGATGCCAAGGGTCTAATTCTGGTCAGCCACATGCCAGGTCAACACCCTACCCACTGTGGTATCACTTGGACCAATATGATGATTTTAAACATTGTTCATATATTACAGAATATCTAGAGTCCAATGTCTGTACCCTTTTCTATAGTTCTAATACAGCCAAAAGAAATTTAGTTCATCTCTTCCCTTGCAAGTCACCCTAACTCAGGAATTCTTTCTGTTGTCCTTATTCTTGAGTGAGCATGAAATGCCTTTGTCAAGTATTTCTGTTTGATTTTTTTCAAAAGCTTTTTCTAGGCTTACATCTCAAAATAAAATGCATATGATGATTGATATTACCACAGTCATTCTTGACTGACCTATACAGTAACTGCCTATACATCTTCAGAACTCTCCCTAGCCTTTCAGATTTTTATGTGAAGGTATATGAAGAGACAAAAAGCTGGAATGCTTGCTGACAGGGCCAAGTTCTTTTAGATCTTACCGAAATGGAAACCTTTGGCTCTACAGCTCTCTGAGTTTGGACAATGTTGTGTGTTTGCTTCCACAGAGCGTATATCATCACAGATTACATGGGCTTACGAAATGAAAATTTCATGAAAATAGCTGCAGTAGGGACCTGGATGGGCGACTTTGTGACCGCGTGGATGGTAAGAACCTTTGATTTCACCATTTCATACATCTCATGGAGGATATTTTATAATGTCAGATAGGCATAGTTCTACTCTTGTGATTTTAAGGAAGGTTCAGGCAATTCCATAGTTTACTCTGTGGTTTTTCTAAACTTCTGCTTACCTTCACAGTTTCTTCAAAATCTACTAGTGCATTTTGTATCTCCTAGGTAACCTGATAACTTTTCTTTTAACATTTTAAGGCATTTGATGTACTATAGGTTACTACTCCAAAAAATACTTTCAGTTCTTCGTAGAGCTGATTGAAAATGAATAAATGTAATAATTTTCACCAAATGATTTGAAAAGTCACTTAACTTTCTTGTGCTTTCATTCCATTCATCTTTTCCTCTCTTTAAATTAACAGACTAGCCAGAGACTCTTTCTGTTTATGTTGCAGGAAAGATTGACCTTTCCCCAAGAGATATAGGTAGAAGTGCTAATGAACACATTCTTCTTTTTTAAGAACACAGTCATACAGGGAGGATTCCCAGAGCACATCAATTTTATTAACATTTCTATTTACTGATGAAGCAGTAAATTTTTATATTAATATGTATATGTCAATGTATGTGCTCATTTAAAACATTAAAAATAATAGTTTTTCTTGTAAGAAGAGTCTAAACTAACTTTGACCTTCATTTATCTATAGATTTATCATCATGAAATGAATATCAATTACAAAATGACTGTCGTGGAAAGCAAGTGACTATTGACATAACAAACCAAAGTATGCTTTGTTATGTGTTTTTCAAATGGAGAAATTTACTTTAAAAAAATTCAAAAATTTTCTATGATTTTAGGCACATATGGTGAGTGTGAATGAAATCCACAAGGAAGACTGACATTCAGCAGTCTGAGAAATATTTTGGTTCTCTTCCTATTGCGCATCAAGCTCTGTAAAGTTAAATTTCATGTATCTTCCAGATTGTGTGTGTCTTTTATACATTGAAGGGGCAGATAAATAAGCCTAGTTGCCTTCATCATAAAGTAATTTGCTAGATAATTAACTATTAATATTATCTGTATTTTGGTTTGACTGTGTGATCAGGAGTGATCCCTGAGTACAGAACCAAGGGTAAGCCTTGTTGGGTGTGAACCAAAGTCATTTTTATATGACTTTGACATATGTCCAGGATTGTCTGTGGGAATAATATACATCTTGAAATTATCAGCAAACTTTGTACCCTGAAGCGTTGTAATGCACATATAAACCATTTTCTTTGTTAACTGACTTTACATTCAGTCAGGAATATATGCATCAAACAAATCCCTGGATGGCTTAGGCCATGCTATATATTGACCTCTCAGTAATTAACTGTCCATCCATTTCTCCATACCCTTAGTAAGGAGCTTAGGAGTCTTGGCAGTTCTACAGCAACGTTTTCCAATTTTATCTTTTTTTCCTCAGTTGACAGAAATCATAGCCTCTTCTATGCCTAAGGTAATGGTAAAGGCCCTCACGTTGATCATCGATTTGCTCGAGTGGGCCCAGTAACGTCTCCGTTGGAGACTTTGTTGTTACTGTGTTTGGCATATCGAATACGTCACGGGGAGCTTGCCAGGCTCTGCCGTGCGGGCGAGATACTCTCGGTAGCTTGCCGGGCTCTCCGAGAGGGGCGGAGGAATCGAACTCGGGTCGGCCATGTTGGCTGCGTGCAAGGCAAACGCCCTATCGCTGTGCTATCGCTCTAGCCCTTCTATGTTTAAGTGGGTTTAAGTGGCAGTGGATATGCAAACATTTACAATGGGCCTGTCTTCTATACTCTTTTGTTCTCTTTTATAGTACCGGGATTATTTCCTTTTAGAAATGTCTCCTGCTCTAGTGCTTATCTCTAACAACAGCAGGTGCAATGTGCTTCATGAGAATGATATCATTAGCCTTGGCCTGCAGAAGGGAGTTCTGGTGGTAAATTCTTGAGGTCATCATAAAGCATACTTTAATCAGAAAATCACATACTATGTATTAACTCAAGAAATAGTTACCTTTTGTTGGCTTTTCCATAGTCCCAGGATTATCTTTACTAATTTGTTTATCACTCCTGGAAAAATGTCAGTCATGAAGCAATATTATGCATACATGAAATAACTTAGTTTTCCAACTGACTTTACTTCAGATTTTTATACCACTTGTTTTATAAATGGTGTGTTGCTGTAAGAGGTCTTTTGTTTGTTTGTTTGTTTAAACTCAGAGCTTATATATAAGCATATATAAGCAGGCAAGTTTAGGCAATAACTTCATTTGAAAATACCTTTACATTTATAAGGATAGAATTTTGTAGATGGATTATAAAGGAAATTAAAAGAAATTTGATTAATTTTATTAAAGCTGTACCAAGGAAATTATTTTTGAAAGATTTTTTTTTAAATATCCTACTCATTTTTGTTTCTTTTTGGGTCACACCCAGTGATGCACAGGGATTACTCCTGGCTCATGCACTCAGGAATTACTCCTGGTTGTTCTCAGAGGAACATATGGGATACTGGGAATTGAATTCAGGTCGGCCACGTGCAAGGCAAACGCCCTACCTGTTGTGTTATCACTCCCTAAAGTATCCTACTCTTGGTGCCAGAAATAGTATAGTAGGTATAGAACGTGCCTTACACGCAGCTTCCTTGGGTTAGATCCCACGCAATTTACCATCCCCTGAGCACCACCAGGAATTATTCCTGAGTTAAGAGCCAGGAATAAGACCTGAGTGTCCATAGACTGTGCCCCCCCCCCCCCCAAGATAAAATAAAAAAAAAATCTTACTTTTCTATCTTATCTATACCTACTTTGTTGATGTTGCTTGTTTGAGGGCCATGCCAGGCAATGTTGATGGATTACTACTGGCTGTGCACTAAGGAATTACTCCTGGTGGTGCTGGGAATAATGTGTCAGTCTTGTGCGGCAAACACCTTACTTTGTACTGTCTCTGGCCCCTTTCGTGCCTACGGTATGTGTTCATAAATTATCTCTTTGAATATCTGAGTGGCAAAATTCTTGCTTTTCACATGTTTTCTATAATTTTAAAGATGTAATAATTCAAATTTATGTTTGCTACTATATACATTTTTTAAAAAACCTGCTTGATTACGAGGCAAAACTTTCTCGTTTACCCTATTACAAACCTTTTGGAAAGAGATGTAAAGCCAGTCATCTCAAAATTATATTACTATCCTCCAAGATAATACCAAGCATTTGGTGGAGGGATGGGTATTTGATCATTGTGTGATTGTAATCCAAACATGAAAGTTTCTAACTATCTCACGGTGATTTAATGAAATTTAAAAAAAAATTTAAAAAAATTTAAAAAAATGATGTTTGGGTCTAGAGAAATAGTACAGTGGATATAGCATTTGACTTGTATGTGCCTGATGCAAATTGGGGCCCTGGAACTCCATATGGTTCTCCAAACCCTGGTACAGAACCAGAAGCACATCCTGAGCATTGCTAAGAGTCAACCGAAACAACAAAAAAGAGATGCTCAAGAAATATTTAAAGAGCATGTAGATACACAATGAGAAAATAGAGGCGCTGAGTTAATGTTTCTGTTTTCCTTATTCTGCTATTGTGACACTGCTATAAAATGGAGATTCTTGAACATAAAAAATTTCAAGGGAGGCTGTTATTCATCTGCCCACTAATAAGATTCTGTACTGGTTCCTGCACAACATGTTTCTATAACCAGGATATATGCTTGTAAGCATCCTTGAATGGAAGTAACAGATGTTTTACAAAATCCACCCTGAATGGTGATGTAACTTTTGAGTATAAAAGACATTCCTTGGTAAAGCAGATTGAACATTTCACATCCTGCTAAACTGTTCTTTAAATAGTCATTATTACTGTTAGTAGTGTAGTTCCGCTCCAGGCTCTAGCTGGTTCAGATCTATCCTTTCATCCACTTAAGCAGAGCTATTACTACATAAAATAGAAAATTGGTTAACATTCAGTTGGCTGTGGCAGAGAGAATTAAAGAATGGGGTGTACTTGAAAATAAATGATAGCATTCTGGATTTAGTATTTATTCAAAAATCTGGAACAGAACAGAGTAAGAAAATAATATCTATTATTTGATAATAAAATATTTCTTCTAGAGAAAAAATGAATATATAAAATAATTTTAAATAATTAAATGTATGCATATATAATTCAAATTTAGTTGTTTTTTGAACTGTCATTTCATGATTGTAGAAACTGAAGAGTCTGCTCACTTAAATTTTTCTTTATATACTTTCCAGAAAGTTGTGTACTAGTCTAAAAAAGACTGTTTGTCAATGAACAGTACCCTGAAATATCACTGACATCACATGCAAGAAGTTATTTTGTCTGAATTTGAGTTTTGAAGTTATGATTAATGTCAATTTTCTAATTATTTCTTTTCCACTGATACTTAAAAATGACAGAATCAAAAAATTATTGAATTAATTTAATATCTGAAATAAAATAACATTAGTAGCTTTAGCAAGCTCAAAAAAAATTGAAGCTGTGAAACATGAAGTTGAAAGAGGAGAGTTGGCAAGTTCATTCAACTCATCTATGCCAGATGGAAGGGCACAAGTAGGGATTTATTGGAGCTGGGCCTACGAGACCAGTGCCAGAGTTTGACTCTTGTGCTCTTTTTGGCCTGTTTCTTTCTTAGAGTTGGTTCATTAATTCAGTCTATTTTCTTAATTAGTTAAAAGCATTTTTATATGTGTGTATATTGTGTGTTATATAGTGAAGATAAAACTCCATACTACTTAGTATAATAGATCTCTAAAATTTTTGAGAGTAAGGGCTGGAGCGATAGCACTGTGGGTAGAGCATCTGCCTTGCATGCAGCTGACCCGGGTTCGATTCCCAGCAGCCCATATGGTACCCTGAGCAACGCCAGGAGTAGTTCCTGAGTGCAGGCAGGGAGTAACCCCTGAGAACTGCCGAGAGTGACCAAAAAAGCAAAAAGAAAAAAAATTTTGAAAGTAACGCTAGAAGAGTATGTCTCAGCAACTTG